CAATTAGCCAAATTGCCTCGCCAAAATGGAAAGAGTCCTTCATTTCTGAATGTTTGCATAGTACAATCAATAACACCATTGTACGGACGACTGAGTGTACCTTGTTTAAGCATTTCACCTTGATTTTGTACGAGTAATTTTACACGTTCAATAGGCGCAGCTGCTGTTTTTGAGACAACAGCAGCAAAACCACTGAGTGCAAAGTTTTCGATGAAACTTAAACTGTGCTTCTCTTTCTAAAATAGATGTTCAAGGAAATAGGTTTTGAAAAAAAATCAAAAGATTATTTACCGCTGCCATTGCGCTTTATTATGATGTTATGCTAAAATAAAAAACAAAAAAGTATATTTTGAACTTCCGATTCTGGTTTATATTTATTAAACTTTGATCATGAAAAAAATTTTGTGTGTGTGTGTCTTTCTCTCTCTCTCTCTCTGTCTGCCTTTTTTTTGCTACCTGCTGTTCTGATTCTTATGGACGGTTTCGTATTTGGTAAGAGCAGCAAAGTGTCGAATTCGACAACAACGCAAAATCACCACACATGTAAAATGGCTAGTGCAACCGAAACCTCCACAAAAATGCTTCATCTCCGACACCTAAATTCTTCAACTTGTGCTTGTTTTTGAATTTTTTTAAGTGATTTATGCACTTTTAGAGAAAAAAAGTGATATCTGTCAATGATTTCATATTGGTTTATTTAAATAACCAATCAATGGAATGTTACTATGGAAATAGATTCGGAGCTAAAATAAAGAAATTTGTTCACATGTTCAATTATGCGACGATTAAACATCTTCTTTTACTATATTCAGGTATGTTGTCTTCTTTTTTAAGGTTATCTTTCGGAGATGGGAAATATCAGAATATGGAATAATAAAAGACAAAGAATGTTAAAAGAATATTGATTTTCAATAGTAGTCTTGATTTAATATGACGATTGACTGTAGAGCCGTGAGACTTGGGTAGGCTCAAACATTTGTTTCTCATTCAATTATATTGATTAATCTGTACAGTGCAGACCCGTGAAAGTTTTCTTTGCCTTCAATGACTATACTTGTATTCATAAGAAATATTTTTCAATGAAGATTTCAAATTCACAATTTAATCCACTTTTTTTTCTCTGTGAACATTGCTGCTTCACTACTATTTTTTTTTCAGTTAAGTGGATCGAAAATTCTTGTTTCGACGGTCGAAATTAAATAAAAACAAATGTTGACGCATTTCTTTAAGTGTACGTCTAACTATATTTCATTTCAATGCCATAAAAAAAAACTCGTCGTTCTCCTCTCTATTTATGACATTCAGACGAGGATGCTATAAAGACTGTTGAGCTGACTCTACATTCAAAATGTTCTGCCAGCAATGTGTCTGACTGCTAAAAATATATGAAGAAGAAAGTCTGATCAATTGTAAACTATTCATTTCGATTGTCAAATCAATAAAAGGTCAAAATAATAAGGACACAAACAGTTAAGATCAACATATATATTTATATTACTCATTGAGCTTCGTATACTTTTTTACTACTAAAATTAGAATATACGAAGCTGCTAATTAATTCATATATATGACATTTTTCTAAAATATCTTAATCGAGACATGTGTATCTAGGAAAAAGATTGTACATTATTCAAAGTATTATTAAGTTTAATATCAACATCGAATAATGAAATATCAAAATGTGCACACTGTAGACTCTAATGAACTATAAATATCGTGAAAAAAAGTTCGAGACTCTTAGCTTATTGTTGCTGAGATACTACATGTTTCGCGATACTTATTAATCTGAAGGTCGTGATCTTACTCTGAAACATGAGAAAAACTAATTTTTGAATTTTGACTCGAAACTTTGTATACAGATAGATCTTGATGAGAATAGTTTATTGTAAAACTTTTTGGTCTTTTGATTTGCTCATATCTTGAAAAAAGAACATCGAATTTCTGGTGTATATCAGTGACGTGAAAGATAAGCGTTTACTTTAGCCCTATTCTAGGACAAGAACAACGAAAAGATCTGAACTTTTCATAATGAACTATTTTCACCAGAGTATATCTCTCTGCAAAGTTTTAGGTCGTAGTTCGAAAATTATTTTTCCTTGTGTTTCTGAGAGGGGGACCATGGTACTGTATAAAAAAATTACGTAAAAATATTATATCTCCGCTGCAATGATTGACAGGCCCGAATTTTTTTCCAGATATTCATAGTTCATTAAGGTCTGTGTAGTGCATATAGTCTCAACTCAAAAGTGATAAATCTGTTGATGGACTTTCCATGTAAATACTTAAGATTATTATCTACATTCGCGAATACCCGCGTGAAATTCACAATTTTAGATTCCACTATGGACTGTAGCATACTGAAAGTTATATTATACTCTGTCAACAAGGACTAGATATGAGAATTTTTCAAATTAAAAGGTTTTTAGCAATGTTTTCATGAAAAATTCATATCTAACTTTTGTATGAAAGAAACTGCTTTTATTAGCAAATTATACTAAATCTATTGTTTATAGATATATTTGAAGATCGTTCAAGTTCATTATTCGCTTTTCAACTTTTTAACTTCTATTCACGAATATCAAATATGGTAGAGATGCCAAAGAAAAATGATTCAGTTATATGTATTTATTTGCTAATTTATTTGAATTTATGCTTTGTTTCGTTTATTGAAATATAAATTGATGTTTATCAAAAATGAATTCTATAGAATATTGGAGCATGGCCTATAGAAAAAGAAGAATTGACTAATTCTCATGTACAATGTCGAGAAGTAACATCAACAGAAAATAATCAACTTTTTTGGACAAAAGTTTTTCTACAAACAAGTTCATATGATGAAAAACGTTATCGACAAATTGCTTCGAATGCATGTGAACGCATTGTTCGTAAGTTTATTCAAATTTTAGGAGAAAAAACGAAATTCATCGTTATTTCTTTATCTAGAAGAACAGACAAAGAAGTCTCCATCAAGATCAATGTAAAATTTTTATTAACCAATGATGAAAAAGTTTTTAGATAAGATGGTCTATTCACTTTTGATAAGCTAGAAAGTATTTCTGACGTATCAAAAGCTATGATTTTGTGCCCTTTTCGAATATCGACTTAGAAATTTTGTTCCAAAGTAGTAAAATAGTTTTTCAAAAATCCAGTAAATTAGCTTCGGCTAACAAGTTTTGTAGTTTCACTATTGTGATTTGAAAATAAAATTTGGGATCTTTATTTAAATATCCACTTGTAAATCGAAGCTACCCTATAAATTGCAATATGTCATGTTTTTTTTTTGTCTTTCGGCAAGGCATCTCAATATTCGTTTTTCGTAAATACTTGTTTTTGAAAAATTGACAATCGTCTTATGTTGAAAGAAGCTCTTGACAAATGCTTGTAGCTTATCTTGAGATGCAACTGCAGCTTTCATTTTGCCGAGACATGTTCTTTCTACAGAACAACAGACTGCTTTAATTTGTAGCATGTTTGAAAAGAGACTTATAGAGTAAAAGAAGCCTATTAACTCACGAGTAAAAATAATTTTGCTTGTCTTTCAAACAGTACCTCACTACGCTTGAATAAAAATCGACGCAATATTTCTACCAAGATAACTACCTGAGCTGATATCTGTCGTTTGAGTTCATAACAAAGTGTCGTTAAGACTAGAAAAATTCTAAAAGGATTCGTACCCATGGGTCTCTAGAACTCACTTATGAGCATTTTACTGGATTTTCGATCCAACTGAAGTTATGCCCATAGATAGTTGCAAAAGCTCTGGGAATATCCTTGAAAGTTTCAATCGAGCAGAGTGTTCTTTTGTCTAGATTGAATTTTCAAGTAAACTGCGTTTTTGTGACAAATGATCATTTTCTGAAAATTCAGTATCCTGACCAATGAATGTTCTTTTCAATTTAAACATTCAAAATATTTTACTAGTTATTCGATCTGTTTATGGGCGAAACTTGAGGTCGAAATATTGTTATATGATTTTTCGATGAATAACTGAAGCTAGATCGAAAATTAAATACAACCGCCATAAGTCAGTTCCAGAGACAGATGAGCACGAACTCTTTTAGAATTGTTCTAGTCTTACTGAGATCTCCTGGTGACCACTATGTGAACTCAAACAGCAGGTGTCATTTAAGATAGTTCCCTCATAAGCCCACATTTGAAAAAAAAAGCACAAAACTCTGGTCACGACCTCTAGTTCTTGGCTCGTCTGAAATATTTTCAAGTAAGCCAAAATGAATTAATTTGTTCTTCAGAAATGTTTGCTTGAAAGTTCCGTCCAAACTAAGTTTTTGAGCTTTTCAAGCATTATTTCACTATGCTCGAACAATAACTGAGACATAATTTCTAAACACATACTCGAAAAGAACATCCTAACTCATACCTTTTGACTCGTCGAAAATACTTTCCAGTGGATCAAGAGTGACCAAATATTATTTCTAAAAGCTTTTCCGATCACCAGTTATTTGTCATAAAAAACAAACCTATTTTCTTCTTTTTTGGTTTTTTTAAAGTTTTCATCGTTCATCCAGTATTATAGCTGTAAGTTTAAGTGAAACAAATACAAGACAAAATAGTTCAAATAATCATTCAACAACAAAAACAATAACTAAACCAAATAATTCAAGAAAAAAATCATCTTATACAAGATTTTCATGTTATTTAAAATCTCATAATACAAATAATCATTCAAAACAAATTAAAAAGAAATTATCAACAACAGTTTTACCAAAAAATAATAATTATTATCATGAAAAAATTAAATGCTTATCGTCAAGAAAAAGAATTCCTAGATTAAATAATGAATATCATCAAAAAATTTGTCAAAAATGTTTAAAATTAATTCAAACTAATTCACCACATATGTCATCAAATTTATTTTGTCAATCATGTTTTAATTTAATTCAAAATTCAAATAATAATAATAATACAATCTCAATAAAAAAAAATTCTTTAAATAAAAATGAAGAAAATGAATTACGTCAAATAATTGAAATAATTATTGAAGAATTTCAAGATCATTTTGATCATGCATTAAATTTATCTATTAAACAAATGACTCAACATTTACTTTCGAATATAAATCTTTTCTATAATCATTATCAACAAGAATTTAAACAATTAACAAAAAAATATCGTTTTGAATTTCTTGAACGTTTTATAAAATTAATGAATAAATATCAAAAGTCTCAAACAAAAATCAATAATAATATTATTCAAAAAACTAAATTACCAATATCTGATCGAGTAATTTGATGTTTATGAAAATTTTTCAATCTATTTTTAAGATAGTTGAATAGCCAAAATTATAAGTATTAATGCAAACTGTAGGGCAAACTCAATGAACAAATAACACACACGTACAGAATTTACTCGTGTGTACTCACGCACATAGAGAAAAATTAGAGAATCAAGTTTGCTTTTAAACCAATTAAGGTACGGAGTTCGTATACGAATTTTGTGATTTAGAATACAATAGAGAATCCTCCAACTGCTTATTTTCCCACTATTGAATGCATCATACGTACATGACCAAAATTACAATTTATTTCAGTCATTTATGTCCTTCAAATGTGAACCCTATTCGAGTATTTTGCTCGCTTGTGTTGCTGTTAA